CACAGATGCTGGCGAAATGTTAGGAAACAAAACTTCCAGAACACAGCCACACAGCCCGGAACACCCACACCAGCCATACATGAGAGGATTTTTTGTTTTTGTTTTTGTCATTATCTTTTGGCCCATAAGCTTGCAGAGAATAGTAACAGCTGCACTACTTGTAATCCTAAAGAAGCTTTATAGGGAGTCTAGGAAAATTAATTATTTCTAAGCAAATTTAGAATGGTTTTGTACAACTCCAGGCATATGCAGACTAATCTGCACATAGGTTTCATTGAAGTTGATAGGACTTACATCTAGTAATACTGCCTAAGTAGGCTTACAAGTGAAGATCACCAGTATTTTTATTGCTTCTATTCCTGTCCCTTTCACAGCAAATAATATTGCTGAAAAAAATAACATGCTGATTTCTGCGGAGCAGTCTGCTATTAATAGCAGAAGAAAAGGACAGGGTTTAATTCCTGGTTGGTAAGTTTGTTGCTAGGTAGCCAACAATACATCTACTAAGTGGGTGGGAGATGACACATTATTTCTTTCAGATTATTAGATCTGGAAAGGAATACCTAAAGGAGATGTGAATAGAGAATTTCAATATATGGCATACACAAACAGGTTTCTAAAAGCTTTTTAATGGGTCAATAATTTGCCCCATTCGGTTAAATACAAACTGTGGTTCAAGGTCTGATAGAATATTTGGTGACCCTAAGTCAAATGATGTAAGGCAAATGCATCCTGTTGTGCAACATGAAGAATTTGCCAACCACAGATGAAGGACCTTGTCATTGTGCCAAATTGTGAAAAGCCATCACATTTTGCAGGTGGGATCTGGAGAAGGAAAAGCAGTACCACTTTTAATTCTCATCCTTTGATTAGACAATAGAGATGGTTTTATCTATTAGATACACACTATCTCAACGGGACACTGTTTCAAGGTACCACTTGTGAACTGGATATTCATACTTGCCATTATACTGAAATCAGTAAGAAATTCACACTGATCAGTATATGTTCCAAGTAATCACAATTTGCTTTGTGTCTTGGAATGAAGTAGAAGGGGTGTCAGTTATTTTATAAAGATGAATCCAATATTTAAAAAGCATGGTTGCCAATGGTGGTTTATTTCTGATATAAAATAAGAGCAATATTCCCTGATCCTTTTAAGAATCAAAGCAGATATAAAACCCTAATGTCACAGTTTTCCTACTATCATGTCCCACTTCAG